GGGGGGAATACACAACATGAGCAGGGCAGTAACAACCCTAACCCCAACTCTAACCCCAATTCTAACCCTTACACTGGGTCATCAGAGTGGTGTACTCATCTCCCTCAAACAGTCCCGGCACCTAGGGAAGATAGAAGATTACATTTAAGATTTTGCTCTTCCGTTAGTAAGTAGTGTTGATGGGGAGGTTACCCTGTACGTTAGCCTGATATACATTGATAGGTAAGTTAAAACCTTACCTTTCAGTTAGCCAGTAGAGTGTTGTCTGGAAAATTAGAATTTTACCTCTCCGTTAGCGAGCAGATTGTTGATTGTGTGTTTAAGGGAGGTTAGAATCTTGCCTCTCCGTTCATGAGTAGTGTGTTGATAGGAAGGTTAGCCTGAGGTGTGTCGATACACAAGATACACAACTGTAGTTAAGCTAAGATTTTACCTCTCCGTTGGCGAGCAGAGTGTTGATCCTCTCCAGGAATCCGGAGTCGAGCACGTTGGACTCGTCCATGATGAAGGCGATTTTCTCGTCCTTACAGCCCGACCGCCGCAGCACGTTCCGCAGGTCCTCATCAAAGTCTGCGGCTGTGTACTTCCTACAGGCCAGAGGAACAACACACATTAGAGAAAATAGGTCAAAAACATTGTCAAAGTCTGTGGCTGTGTACTTCCTATCATAGAGGAGATACAACAAACATTAATAACTGTTGGTGGGAAAAATACATCAAAAACATTGTCAAAGTCTGCAGCTGCGTACTTCCTACACAGTGGAGAACATATAAAAACACACATTAGCAACTGTAGGTACTTCCTGTCAAAGCAGAGAAACAACACACATTAGTACACACAACATACACTGTACGTACTTCCTACAGGGACAAAATATGTCCTTTTTCCTACAGTCTAACCCCATTACCAACACAAATCTGAGGCCAAACTGCTATCTTAGCAGGCTGAAGGTTAATGGCACTGTCCCTAGTGCTGAAACTGTGGTGGTTATTAACCTTCTCCCTGCTGCCTAACCCCAGAAACTTAGCAGGCTGAAGGTTTAAGAGCAAAGCCTTGCCCACCTTGATCTGAAAGACCATCAGTCCAGGCAACAAACCAAAAGGACATGTAATATAATGTTATACCTGTAATGTTGATGGAAGTTTTGTTTTTGACAAAGAAAGCCCTGCCTACCTGTGGACCTTGATCTGATAGACCGTGAGTCCGTTCATCCAGGCAACAAACCAGAAGTACATGTTACATCTGTAATGTTATTATATATCTGTACATGTTATATTATGTTATATCTGTAATGCTGAAAGCCCTGCCCACCTGTGGACCTTGATCTGGTAGACCGTAAGTCCGTTCATCCAGGCCACGAAGCGCGACAGCGTGGTCTTGCCGGCTCCGCTCATGCCGATGAGCAGAAGGTGGCCCTGGGGCTGCTGGAAGATCCGGTCGATCCGCAGAACGTTGTCCAACACCTCGTTAAACAGCACCAGAGGAACGTCAAGCTCCTCTTCGTAGAACACCTGGTGAAGGGATGAGAACAGTTAAGGCCAGGCTGCATGTCCTACTATCCTGCTGTTTCTATCCTACTACTCTCACAGAGTATCCATGGCCCAGGAAAGTTCACTGCTGCCCAAACCAGGAACATACCATGCTCTTCCTCATAAAACACCTGGTGATGGGGTCATCGGAGTTGTATCCTGCATTTTGTTTGCATCATACTACACAACGTACTGGCTTCAAACAGGGAAACAGGAAGGTTTGCTGCCCAAACAGGGGCACATGAAGCTCCTACTGATAGAATACCTGGCAACGGGGTTAGGAGAGTTACTTACTGTAGAGGGTGGGTCGGCATAGTGCCTCAGCCATTCAGTTAACAATGGCAGTTTAAGTCCTTACCTTGAGTCTGGCCTTGGTGTACTCTCTCAGCTCCTCCCTGTCTACAGGAACGTAGTCTTTAGACAGCCACTTGCTGTAGAGGATGGGTCGGCCGAGCGCCTTCTGCTGGTCGATGTTGGGGAAGTGCTTCAGCGCCACCGTGTTGATGTTCTCATCCGTCCACTGACGCTCCTCTTCTTCCACCAACCTGACAGTAAAAGGAGTGAACCATTGTAAAAAAAACAGGTAACACAATGTAATCCCATAGCCTTTTTGAAACCATAGGGGCAGTGGCTCCCCTATATCTAAGGTATTGGAAAGTGTCCCTCTCCTTCCACTGCCTTTACCTCGGAGCCCAAAGTCAGGTACCAATTTCACACCTGGGGGGTAAAGTGATGAAAGTCCTGTAAAGTGCCTTTCTCCAGGGCACAATGTCTGGCCAGGAATGCCAGGGATTGAACCTGTGGCCTCTCTGTCTCTAATCGGCCATTTGATGCTACCAGGAATTATACAGTAGTGGTGTTGTTGACAGAGAAAGAGCTGTCAAGACATTTTCTGCATTTACATAATTAAGTCAACAGCGGCAACATTGAAATGTTTTCTCTGACGTTCCCCATTATTGTCTACCCTGAGACATGGTGATGTTTGCTATGATCTATAATTTTGTCCTGACCTGTCCTGGAAGAGCCTGAGCCCCTCGTGTGCCCAGATGCGCACCAGACCCTCCACAGGAAGCGACTCGAGCGGCCGCAGGGCCTCCAGGATCCCGCGCACCCAGCGGGTCATTTCACGTGGGCTGTAGATGTAGTGTGGCTGGGTGTCCTGGGTAAACCTCTCCTGGGGAACACAGTAACAGCAGGTCAGAATCAGTGGTTCCTAACCCTAACCCTAACCCTCGCACCCAGCAGGTCATTTCACGTGGGCTGTAGATGAAGTGGTAACCTACGGCTGTGAGGCATGGACCCTACACGCCAGTGACATCCGCAGGATTCAGGCCCTAGAGATGAAATGCTACAGGAAGATCCTGCGCATCAGCTGGACGGACCACCGCACAAACGACTCTGTGTTAGAACAGCTGGGAGTGGAAAGAACACTTTTAAACACCATAAAGAGGCGGAAACTCCAGTACTTTGGGCATGCCACACGAGCAGAGAACATCACCACCCACATACTGCAAGGGGGGATCAATGGAAGGAGGAGCCGTGGAAGACCACGCCGGAGGTGGGGCGACGATGTCCGTGACTGGATGGGCATGCCACTGGCTGAGTGCTCTCACAGGGCCAGAGACAGGAGAGAGTGGAGGAGGCTGATACTGGATGCCACCATAGTCCCCGACCCTCAGACATGAGGATGGGACTAGGTAAAGGTAAAGGTAAAGGTAGATGAAGTGTGGCTGGGTAGAACTCGAGTGTTGCCATAATTACCTGTGACATAGTGAAGAACTCGACCATTGCCATAGTGAGAGGCTCTGCGTAGGTCCGTAGGGTGGGGATCAGGCGCAGCATGGCACGGTTGAAGGTGCCGTAGATCTGCATGAGGGACGGAGCCGCAGGGTAGTCCACATACACCACAGGCACATGCCGCAGGAACCTAAGTAGTACAATATAACAGGTAAATATGTTAGGAAGGTGTCCATTTGAGATTAGCTTCCGTAGCTAGAGAAAGTGACGGTTCAGCAAAAGTAAAAAGTAAAGTAGTCATCCTCAACTGATGACGCTTTTTCAACTAGTGCAATGCCTGCTGTTTATAGCCAACCACACTGGGTCAGCCCTACTCTTCTTGATAAGTGTGTTGGGTTTTTTACAGAGGTTTGGCACTTGAGGCTTTGCCACAGAGCCACCAAGGCTTTACGTCACCATCCAAAATGACAGCAATCCCTCATAGCATGTCTGAGCTGAGCCGACACTGGGATCAAACTTGTGCCCAAGGGGTTCCCAGAACTTGACAACTTGGGGATACTGACAACTCATCCTTGCTCCAGCTACATGTAAGCAGCCCAGAGACTACTTGCCAGCCTGAGTAAAGAGACTCTTTTTACACAACCAAGTCTTTTATTCAGCTGACGTTTCGGTGACCGTCTGTCACCTTCCTCAGGGCAATTCTGACTGGTTCACATTGCATTGCAGCTACAGGTGTCGCTGCTACAGATGCATTCCTAAATGTACAATATTTGCCCCGAGGAAGGTGACAGATGGTCACTGAAACATCGGCAACACCAAAGACTTGATTGTGTCTCTTTACTCAGTGTCTTACCAACCTGATGAAACTATTCACGGATATTTGCCAGCCTACCTGTGAGACAGGGGTTTACGGCCCGGATCTGTCGGGGATTACTGACCTGTGAGACAGAGGTTTGCGGCCCGGATCTGTCGGGGGGTTGCACGCTCCCACGAACTGGATCCTCTCGAACTTGACCCACTGCTGGTCGGAGGAGCGGAAGAAGCCGCCGTGTTCCACCATCTGCCTCAGGAACGAGATGACTCGCTGCGTGCCTGCAGAGGAGGAATTTTTTTTCACCTCAAAACAAAGCTCAAAAAACTTACTGTGGAGACAGATGTTTGTTCACCGTAGACTCGAAAAATTTAAGGTTGTACCCATTTGGGAAGCATTCACAAGGAAGCTTGTTCCATAGTGATGTAGTTCTAGGAAAGAAGATTTCAGTATGGAACGTATGATACGTACCGTACTTGTCCATGTCCGGGAGATTGATTTCATCGCAGAAGACGACGAGCCACTTGCCCAGCTGGATGGGAGACAGCACCAGTCCGTGGGGGGTCCTCCGGTACTCGCAGTAGTGGTCAAACGTCTTCAGCATCAGCTCCGGAGTCGTCGCGCTCGAGAAGTTCAGACCAACAACCTGCGGAGACCAGAGAAAGTTAGAGACATACATGTCCATCCTGCCTGGTTCATAGCAGTTGGTACACCAGCACTTGATAAGGCCTAGGAAAAAAATGTTGTGTTTCCTGTTTCCCGACCGACCCTAGAAAAACCTCTAGCCTTCTTGTGTGGATCCTTGCAAGAGACATCAAGCTGATCGACCTTTTCTATTTTCTAACCCCATGATCTGACACCCGAGTGATGAAACGTTGTACAATTGTTTTTCAACATTGACATTGAAAATGAAAGTGTCTTCATTCAAGTTTTACTTTGTTTATTATATAATAAATATATTGTATAAGTTGGATCACTTAAGAGATTGCCAAAGTCTTAAAAAAAAGGGATAATCCCTACCTACCGACCCTATTTTTTTCACGACTGAAACAGGAAACACATTTTTTTCTAGGCCTTAAGTGTACATCCTGCCTGATTCATGGCGGTTGCATAGCGGTTGGTGCACCAGCACTAAATTTTGTGGTAATGAGAATTCAACAATGTACACCGGGTGGAATTCTGCAATAAAAGTTTTTGTCACTGAGGAGGTGATTCCTCACTGGTGTGGTGCACAGTTACTTATCATGACTATCAAACATGCAGTCAAACCTGTTCTAGAAATCACTTTAAGTTTGCATAGTTACAAATGTATGAACCACCATCTGGCTGCCATTGTAGTTGCTTTTTGGTGGAACGTTAGATAATATTTCCCATTGACCCAAGCATTAAGAGCACAGTCTACAGTGGCCACCTTTCTACTGGGACCACTTTGTTCATCTCACTTGAGTAGCAACTATAGGCAGGTTTCGCTACTTCTACAAAGTATGTCGCCATGAACATTATAGTGGTCCAAACGTAACTGTAAGAGGCTGAAGAGTGTAGATTGCGCTGCTATAGAACATAGGCAACACCCCAAAACAGTGCGTTACAACTTCGCAGATTGAAAAAGACTTTAAACATCTTCTATCAAAGTCAGTGAACAAAGAATATTAAGAAGCTTTGTTGTTAGTATGTATGGAAAGAACGGCAGACTCTGAACTTGGGACAACTGAACCAATGTGAAAGTACAGTATAGTAAATACATGTCATGTACTAATGAGTTACATTCTGATCTGGGTATATTACACCTTGTTTAACCTCTTATGAAGTTAAGTGTTTGGGTCAATTATTCCTATGGTTACTTACAAGGGCTGGCGATGACAATGTTTAAATTTACAGAATCTGATTGAGGTCTAATTCCACAGCTCTCATTTTAGATAGGAAGATATGAGAGCCAGTATACAATGACAATTGAGAGAACCCTGTTCCTTACAGTGATTTTTCTATTGCTGCAGTTGGTAAGGACTGCAAGGTAAGCTAAGCTGTAACAGAAGGGAATAGTAACTGTTGTGACATCCAGCGCATAGTGAATGGCCTAGTAACTAAACCTACGTTCCCAAGCACAGATGAACACAGGAACAAGCCTGGATGCAGGTAACCACACGAGAGTTGGAAGGCAACTCAGTCTTAACCAACGAAACGTGTTAGTTATAAGTTTGTTGAGCGCACCAGAAGCACTCCATAAACAAAGCAGCTGTAAGGAAGGAAAAAGTCTGAAACAAAAACCAGGTCATACGTAACACATGCAAACCAGTTTACCTCCAAATCATGCAGATTGGCTGGTAAGCCCTGCTATAGAGAGAAAACAACATGTCACTACAAAAATATATCAACTAAATCAATATAAAAGCAAACCATGTACCACTCTAGGTACATGTAGTCTACTAAATGTAAGCAAGACATGCTATTATACAAGAAAATGTCTACAAATCTCTTTCACAGCGCTATTATTAACAAGAGTACAACATCTGCATCTACATGGCCTCCTTCAGTCCATATGGTAACAGCCCTACATCCTTGGCTATAGCTGAATAGTCCTATACGAGAATGACTGTCTCTGCCACATAGGGCAGCTACAAAGTAAGCATCACAAGGGGGAGGCCAGAAGATCCACACAAGTCTCAGCCTAGTCCCATGTTCTCACAAGAGTAGGCCACTTCGTGAGGTACGCGTCTGCTACCTTTCAAACAGTCACTATTGATTGAAGAATATTGTACTAACTATGCATTACAGTCAAGAAATGATAAGCGCTAAAACATATAATCATTTTTTACCTCCATGTCGGGCAGGGCGCGCAGGGCGCTGAAGAGAGTCATGGTCTTGCCACTGCCCGGCGGTCCGCAGAGGACGAGCGGCTTGTGCTCCGCCAGCCAGGTGTACAGCAGCGCCTCGTGCCGAACCGTGTCCAGTGTGGGTACCACCACGTCAGGCGCGGCCACCTTGTGGGTCTCCACCTCCACCTGCGGAACCTTCGCGTTCCACGGCAGCCAGTCACCTGTGATGCTTACCTGGCGCACAGGTAAAAAAGGTAAAGGTAGTCCCGTGGGTTTTTTTTCAGGCTGTAGCAGGTTAATCCACTGCGTCTAGGGAGGCCAACAGTGGTCAGATACGTAATGCATACATCATTCAAGGCAAAAATATGTGATCAAAATAGCTTTAGTCAGATGCCTTCACATACAGGCTACCATGGTCAAGGATGGGAACACAGGAAAAACTCACACACCTATACCACAGTTAAGAGTTGTGAGAACAACCCATTGCGCAGACTCCTTGCTCACCTCGAAGTCGATGATGGGTATGCTTGGGTTGGGCGGCAGCGGGATGGTCGTCACTCCGCGGATAAACGTGCCCATCTCCTCCCGAACCCTCATCTTCGCATCTCCCACCAGAGACCACAGCAGGGAGTGCACCAGCATCTTCGGGATGTACTTCTCCAGCTGGTCAAACTGTCATGGCAACAGGCAGGTAAACAAACAGGTTAACATGTAAACATATAGCCCTAACCTAACCTAACCCTAAAACCAAGCCCTGACACTAACCCTAACCCTGGCCCTGACACTAACCCTAGCCCTGGCCCTGACCTTAACACTAGCCCTAGTCCTAGCCCTAGCCATAGCCATAGC